ATATGAATTAATGTCTACATTATATTGCTATATATATAAGCACAGTTTGTAATATACCAGGGGCCTGATCTCTGAAGCATTACCAGCTCTATAGAAAATTATCTAAAAATCATTTATCCATCATATTAAAAAAATGAAAGACAATAACAAAACAGTATTTCTACAGGTCAACCCGTAATCAGATTGATGTCCATCAGAACAAGAAACCGAAAAGTTATCATCAGCCATTTTTTTCTATTTTTGTTCTTGGAAAATTTAAATTACCGGTAATGAATTATAAAGCTGACAAGACTTTGATAAATGGGACGATGTTATTACCACCACGGTAGGGTTCAGTGAAAGGGGATGTGAGGTAGGATTATAAGTTAGTTGATAGAATCTACTGTGCCCAGACAATAACTTTGGAACTTCCATACTTCTACACAAAACATTACTAGATCATCTTTTGCTTTCCTTTTTTTATTCAAAGTTAAACATCAACTGTTTTATGTTTATGTGTGTTGTGTTTATGCAAATTAAACTTCCTATTTTGACTCCGATATGGTCACGTCTAAAGTCGCTTCTAAAGGAAGCGTCAGTTGCCGAGTCATCGCTACCGTTATTGAGGTCTCTGTACGAAGTGGTTTCCTTTAATTGGCTTGTAGAGAGACATGAGACCAACAGCTTTGATGCATCAGAGGATCTGTTCTGACCACCAGCCTGAATGATGTGATCTACTATACACATGATATGGTGGATATGATTGTTTGGAGGGCTTAGTCTACCACAAACAAATGTCATTCTTTATAATATCATCTCAAGTATATTTACTGTTATGATATATATAATCATGGTAATAATATGTCTGATTAATGATAAGTTAGGAAGGACTTATAATTTCATTTTACAGACAAACGCTTTTATATGCAAAGTTGAACGTTAGTATGTCATTTTGAAAAAAAATCATCATCACAATATTCAAGGAAGTAGAAATACTCAAGGAAGTAGAATGGTCTTTCAAACAATGTGCTGGTCATTGTCGGTGTATATAACCTAAAAACTGAATAATACATGTACTTAAAGGCAATATTGATATTATAATGTTACCATGGTAATCCTTACTCACATATATACCTATCAACAGTCAATGTGTTTGGGAGATCAAAGTAATCAATGTCATAAAATGCATGATGGACCTTAATACAATTTTCTTTTCAGTTTTCTGGCTGTAGACTTTCACGTATTGTAATGCTCTGATAATTCTTATGTTTGCCACAACATTAATATTTGTATGATGATTAAAAGAATGCAATCTCTGGGAAAATAATATAAGATGTTAAAATATTTATCACATTGTAGTTAGTCAGATCACGGTAAGACTTACCACTGTATCAAGTCAGATCACGGTGAGACCTACCACTGTATCAAGTCAGATGTCAGATCATGGTAAGACCTACCACTGTATCAAGTCAGATCATGGTAAGACCTACCACTGTATCAAGTCAGATCATGGTAAGACCTACCACTGTATCAAGTCAGATCATGGTAAGACCTACCACTGTATCAAGTCAGATCATGGTAAGACCTACCACTGTATCAAGTCAGATCATGGTAAGACCTACCACTGTATCAAGTCAGATCATGGTAAGACCTACCACTGTATCAAGTCAGATCATGGTAAGACCTACCACTGTATCAAGTCAGATCATGGTAAGACCTACCACTGTATCAAGTCAGATCATGGTAAGACCTACCACTGTATCAAGTCAGATCATGGTAAGACCTACCACTGTATCAAGTCAGATCATGGTAAGACCTACCACTGTATCAAGTCAGATCATGGTAAGACCTACCACTGTATCAAGTCAGATCATGGTAAGACCTACCACTGTATCAAGTCAGATCATGGTAAGACCTACCACTGTATCAAGTCAGATCATGGTAAGACCTACCACTGTATCAAGTCAGATCATGGTAAGACCTACCACTGTATCAAGTCAGATCATGGTAAGACCTACCACTGTATCAAGTCAGATCATGGTAAGACCTACCACTGTATCAAGTCAGATCATGGTAAGACCTACCACTGTATCAAGTCAGATCACGGTGAGACCTACCACTGTATCAAGTCAGATGTCAGATCATGGTAAGACTTACCACTGTACCAAGTCAGATCATGGTAAGACCTCCCACTGTATCAAGTCAGATCACGGTGAGACCTACAACTGTATCAAGTCAGATCATGGATCAAGTCAGATGTGAGATAATGGTAAGACCTACCACTGTATCCAGTCAGATCATGGTAAGACCTACCCCTGTATCAAGTCAGATGTCAGATCATGGTAAGACCTAACACTGTATCAAGTCAGAGCATGGTAAGACCTACCACTGTATCACGTCAGATCACGGTGAGACCTACCCCTGTATCAAGTCAGATCATGGTAAGTCCTACCCCTGTATCAAGTCAGATCATGGTAAGACCTACCACTGTATCAAGTCAGATCACGGTAAGACCTACAACTGTATCAAGTCAGATCATGGTAAGACCTAACACTGTATCAAGTCAGATCATGGTAAGACCTACCACTGTATCAAGTCAGATCATGGTAAGACCTACCACTGTATCAAGTCAGATCATGGTAAGACCTACCACTGTATCCAGTCAGATCATGGTAAGACCTACCTCTGTATCAAGTCAGATCATGGTAAGACCTACCACTGTTTCAAGTCAGATCATGGTAAGACCTACCACTGTATCAAGTCAGATCATGGTAAGCCCTACCACTGTATCAAGTCAGATCATGGTAAGACCTACCACTGTATCTATCAAAGAGATTCCAAAACAGTAACCTAGTTTATATGCGAGTAATGGTTTATAAACAGGCCTCACTTCAGTAAGATTTTATTGTATACAAATGTCAGATCAGGGGAGGTCACTCTATGTTTAATAAACATGGCCATGTGTATATTAGTCGGACCGCTTACTCTGATGTTTAACTGTCTGATGAGAGAGAAATAAAGACAAACATTCTTACAAGTTTCTCTGATTCTTTATATGTAATAGTCACTAGCTATGAGCTAGCATGTGGTTACAGTCACAAACTATTAGCTAGCATATGTATACGGTCACTAGCTATTAGCTAGCATATGTATACGGTCACTAGCTATTAGCTAGCATATGTATACGGTCACTAGCTATTAGCTATCATATGTATACAGTCACTTGCTATTAGCTAGCATGTGTATACAGTCACTAGCTATTAGCTAGCATATGTATTGTCACTAGCTATTAGCTAGCATATGTATACAGCCACTAGCTATGAGCTAGCATATGTACTGTCACTAGCTATTAGCTAGCATATGTATACAGCCACTAGCTATGAGCTAGCATATGTACTGTCACTAGCTATTAGCTAGCATGTTTTACAGTCACTAGCTATAAGCTAGCATGTTATACAGTCAATAGCTTTTAGCTCGCATATGTATAAAGTTTCTAGGTAATAGCTAGCATATGTATACAGTCACTAGCTATGAGCTAGCATATGTACTGTCACTAGCTATTAGCTAGCATATGTATACAGTGACTAGCTATGAGCTAGCATATGTACTGTCACTAGCTATTAGCTAGCATGTTTTACAGTCACTAGCTATAAGCTAGCATGTTATACAGTCAATAGCTTTTAGCTCGCATATGTATAAAGTTTCTAGGTATTAGCTAGCATATGTATACAGTCACTAGCTAATAGCTAACATATGTATACAGTCACTAGCTATTAGCTAGCATGTGTATACAGTCACTAGCTATCAGCTAGCATGTGTATACTGTCACGAGCTATTAGCTAGCATATGTATACGGTCACTAGCTATTAGCTATCATATGTATACAGTCACTAGCTATTAGCTAGCATATGTACTGTCACTAGCTATTAGCTAGCATGTTTTACGGTCACTAGCTATAAGCTAGCATGTTATACAGTCAATAGCTTTTAGCTCGCATATGTATAAAGTTTCTAGGTAATAGCTAGCATATGTATACAGTCACTAGCTATTAGTTGGCATGTATATACAGTCACTAGCTATTAGCTAGCATATGTATTGTCACTAGCTATTAGCTAGCATATGTATACAGCCACTAGCTATGAGCTAGCATATGTACTGTCACTAGCTATTAGCTAGCATATGTATACAGTCACTAGCTATTAGCTATCATATGTATACAGTCACTAGCTATTAGCTAGCATGTGTATACAGTCACTAGCTATTAGCTGGCATGCTTGTGGCTGTAGACCCTGTTTAAGTGAGATAAATAATTAATGGTATAAATATTTGTCATCAAGATTCAGTATTGATGTGTGTATTTAGTCTTGCTGGTAAACATGTGGATACCTAGAGTTTCTGTTCATGTGTTTGTTGGACCAGGTACTTTCAGAGTTATGTACTTTTACAGGAAAACCTAAAAAATAGAAATCAATTGATTTAAAAGAAATTCAGAACTGTTCTTTCTATCATAAGATATTTATGTCTGTGTGGATTTTATTGTTATCCTTTATTTATGTACATGTTATAATTGTACAGAATAAAGTCTTGTTTCTTTCGTCCGTTTTCATAATGACCTCATACCTTTTATGGCTTAATAAACCCCAAACAGGAAAAACACCATTTATTTTTTATCATTATGTAAAGAAAAGACAGCTCTCAATGTAAACATTGAAATTAATTTGTGTAACAGTGGCATCCGTTTTCATAAAAAATGATTTTTGATTTTTTCAAAAGTAGGACTCTAGCTAACTGGGGTAAATCTGTGTGACTACAGTATACACTGATCATCAACTCTGATCTTGAAGCATTACATATTTTCTTTCAGATTTCTATCCCCTTAATGTCCAGGAATCTTTATCTTACAGACTTTATATGTATGTCTGTTTCCTTACGCATACTCAATTTCTACTGCTTTTCATCAGTACAAAAGTATATAAAGGGAGATCACTCTTGTTTGACCATGCCCTGTGCTTTGTCTGCAGACATGTGTGTACTAACCTCTGACCTGGGACACTCTACCTTTGACCCAGGCACCTTACCATGGAATCATTTGAGGTACAGAATATCTACGGCACACCACAGATTCCCAGAAAGAGGCCATGTATCCGGCCAAGGCGAATGACCTTGATTGACCTGAGGTAACCATGCCGATGCATCAGTGGACATTTGGCATGTTACCTGTATTGGAGTTGTGTCTGTGTGCTATGACTGCATGACACTCCTATGTCCCTGTCCATGTTTAGTCCCTGACACCTTGTTTCTGTAGAGATACTCCTGCCTGCTGGTATATTGACCATAGTTTATTAGACTATAACCCTCCTTCTGATTTGCCATCTTTTGTATGAGCCCAAACTTCAGTTTCTTGATATCCTTTAACAATGTTTGTTCCTGAAAAGCCATGCTGATCTTTGTATTTGGTTCAAGTCTAATTTGGTTTGACCTAAATCTGCCTTGTTTCTTTAATCCATTTTTTATGACAAAGAATTTCTGACAAACCTGATGCATTTTGCTTTCAGACAAACCTGCTGCTGCACGCATAATACTCCAAGTCTGTACCTCCATAATACTCCAAATGAATACATTTCATACCTGCATACTTAGTACTCATATAGCCTTTACCTGTACTCGGGTGTTAAAACATATACCTGTATTATTTAACGCCTAAACCTGTATTCATAATACGTCAGTTATTGACCTGCATGGTTTACTATCAGCTGAACTTCAGTCCTCTATGACCTTGAAATAAACATGCAGGTTATTTGTAGGTATTCAGCTGCTTAACCCTTTTTTGTACAAAACACACTAACCAAACTGTCTTTATTTGAAAAATACAGGTTAATTGCATGATGCCTTATTTGAGAATCCATGTAGTATAAAGTCTGGTTTTCAGTGTTAATTATAACAGATGCTGTATTGTGTTTAGGTAGACAGGTTTGCTATTAAGGTTTAGACTCCATTTTTATGGCCATAAAATGGGGGGCATAAAGTGTTGCCCATGTCCTTCCCATCCTGTCACATCGCATACCGTCCTGTCCCGTCTTGTCACATCGCATACTGTCACATCCCATCCTGTCACATCGCATACCGCCCCGTCCCATCCTGTCACATCGCATACTGTCACATCCCATCCTGTCACATCCCATACCGCCCCGTCCCGTCCCGTCCTGTCACATCCCATACCGCCCCGTCCCGTCCCATCCTGTCGCGTCCCGTCCCGTCCTGTCACATCTTATACCGCCCCGTCCCGTCCCATCCTGTCACGTCCCGTCCCATCCTGTCGCGTCCTGTCACGTCCCGTCCCATCCATGAGCGGGGGCATTTATGTCTTACAGACATTTTCTAGTTTTGGAAGATTTTAAATCATAATGTCAGTTTCATGTGTATATATATACTGACTTTATATTGTTTGAGTTTCCTCCCTTTGTTACAACTCTCTACTGAATTCTATTAGCAATGTAGGATTAGCCCTTCCTGTTTATTTCCATGTATTCATGCAGCTTTCATTTCCTTTGTTCCTGGTGATGCTTAGGACATTACATGCTTTATAGTCCTTATTCTCGGCCTTAATCTCGGCCTTAATCTCAGCCTTAATCTCGGCCTTATTCCGCCTGGACAATTGCAATCTCCCTCTTATACGTGCATCTTTTGTAAGTCTTAACTTCTATATTAGGGTTATTTTCATTTATTCAGGGGTTATCTCCCATTCAAAATAAGTATTTATTTATCTAAAACTTTGCGTATATTCTTTGTTTCTGATTTGACTGTTATACCTCTGCTAAGTGATAATATTCCTATCATTATTTTTAGAATTTTTGGCTTTCTTTCCATTTCATTAATCATAACATATATTTGATATTGTGCTGGAGTTGTCTCCTTTACCAGTTAACCATTAGTCAGTCATCAAAAATATCATATTGGTTTTTATGATAGTCAATGTTGTTATAACCACCCACCCCTCCAATTTTGGGGAAAATACCTTTAAAAAGTGATTATTATTTTCTACTATTTTCAAATCTAGAAGATATCCCATATAACCTCAGATCCTCCTTATGGTATAGGTTCCTCCTTCAATCAGCATTACACTGAACATGTCTTCCTTAACTTTGATTGTACTCTATTACCGTGTTAGTCAAGCTGGGAACACTTCTAGCTGATCCCACCTTCACGTCCACTAAGTCTACAGTGTAGTGTCGCTGGCCGGAGGAACTTTCCCGGATACTTTGGTGGTCTGTACACAGAATTGCATCAGTACTTGAATAACGTAAATGCATTGTATTGGAAGAAAAACTTATGATGAACATATATAGGGTCAAATACATTAATGAAACAATGTAGATAAAGATTTAGTTCGTTTGGTGTATTGTTTACATGGATACAGTGTCTCGGTTCATAAAATGTTCTACCAGGTAACTGCTTGCGATAGTTTCAAAATGTGGCCAATAGGAAACTGGTATCTACTCGGCTTTGTCTGAATAAAGATGTAGATGTCGAAATAGACCAAACAGAAGGTTAAACACGCATTTTTATTTAATCAGGTGTTTTTTCTTTAGGATCAATTTTAGTATATCAGTAGGCATGCCATTCTATGTACAGACCTACAAACTCTGACAAGTCCTCAGACAATGCTTTCATATACACTATGTCAGATCTAGACTATCCAAAGACCCAACGACTGTCCGTAAAAAAGTGTTCTGTCCTCCTTTGTACAGTACTTATATGACTTTTAGAGCTTTTTTTTTTACATTTATTCAAATTTTATCTGAAATAATTGCCCGTCCCCTGACTTTCTGATGTGGTTGTAATCATTGATTCCAATAATCGCCCATCCCCTGACTTTCTGATGTGGTTGTAATCATTGATTCCAATAATCGCCCATCCCCTGACTTTCTGATGTGGTTGTAATCATTGATTCCAATAATTGCCCACCCCCTGACTTTCTGATGTGGTTGTAATCATTGATTCCAATAATCGCCCACCCCCTAACTTTCTGATGTGGTTGTAATCATTGATTCCAATAATTGCCCACCCCCTGACTTTCTGATGTGGTTTTAATCATTGATTCCAATAATCGCCCACCCCCTGACTTTTGTTTTATCATATCTTCTGAAAATTGCCTGGCCTATTATTATAACCAATATAGTATACCGATTAACCAAGGCTGATGCAATATGTGTATTGCAGGTTTCAAACCTTGGAGTGTAGTTTTTGCCCATGTTATATTTGTTTTGTAATTAGTTATATTGTTATATTACCTATAGCTAGTGTACATAGTGTACATATGTGACAGTAAATATGTGTTAGAGTTATCTCCCTTAAGGATATAAGTAATTGCGGTTTTCAGCAATCAGTGTTAGAGTTATCTCCCTTAAGGATATAAGTAATTGTTGTTTTCAGCAGTCAGGGTTAGAGTTATCTCCCTTAAGGATATCTGTAATTGCTGTTTTCAGCAGTCTGTGTATGTGTTAGAGTTATCTCCCTTAAGGATATCAGTAAATGCTGTTTTCAGCAGTCAGTGTATGTGTTAGTTATCTCCCTTAAGGATGTTAAGTAATTGCAATTTTCAGCAATCATTGTTATGTGCTAGAGTTATCTCCCTTAAGGATAAATATTACCTGGTATGATATATATTTAAAAACATTTAATTAGTTTTATCAAATCTTTTTGAATTGCCTGCTACCTAACACATTATACCTGTGATTTATATAACAGTTTTCTGCCTAAAGAAATTTAATTTACATTACGGAATATTTTAATTAGAACAACCTGTGTGTTATGTATGCTTTCTTGATCCTAATCAATATGTCGACAAGTGATTGGTCCAAATTCACATTCATGAGAGATTCTCGAAAGGGAATACATATTACAGTAAGGTAGCTAGGATACACCCTAAGCCTTTGAAGGTATATACATACAGTAAGTTTATCTCACATTGTTTGGAGTAGGCTGGTGGCTTTCGAATCAGTTGGGAATAGATAAAAATCACATATGAATGTAACATGTATCATCAACAGAAAAAAGAAAAAAATCGATTTGGGTAAATTTGGTGCAAAAATTGCCAAGAAAACTCATACTAATTCCTACAGAGAATTGTGTGAATTTTTTGTCCCGTATTGGACTACAGAAATCCACTGTCATGTACGTGGTGTGGAAACTGAAGGGGGAAAGACTGCTCATTCAGAGTTTATCTGAACCGTGACAACTGTTGGTAGGAAATTGTTTTATTAAATTATAACTGCTAGCAGGTTTCATTTCTAAAGGTCAGGGATCATGATATCCATTTATAGGGTAACCTCTGTCAAACAGTTGCCAGAACAAATACTAATTGGACAGATTATAATGGCTGCCAGCTTGTGACAGGCCAGAAAGGGTCCATTTACACAAAATGATGTTCCGTTTAAAGTCGCTGGAGTTTTGCATGCAGTGATCGTCGTACTTAGACTTAATGTTTATAGGTTTCCTCACCCAAGCTGCTGATGTTTCCTATGCACCGGTGTGGCTGTATCCTTATAGCTTCTAGGGGGGTCACAATACGCCAAGAGTGGATCACGATGTATCGCAATACAGAATAAATATATATAGAGATGTGCTCGATTTTATAATAAGTTGTTGTCAGAATGTTATCAAACTTAATCATGTATGATATGGATCAAATAGATTTAAGAGTTTTGTCAAACCAACCATCGATTACAAAACTTGAACTAATTCCCACCACCATTAGAAGCCTGTTTAATGCTTATTGGCACATCTGTTAGAATTTGTAATAATTTGCAAAGTTAAAGCACCAAGCAGAATGAGATACTTAAAGATAAGCTTTTAGAAAAATATTGCGATACAACAATATTTCATCTCTGTATTGTGGTACATTACGATATACCTGTGTATTGCAATATACCTGTTTTCCGATATGTTGTGACAGCTTCTTGGTTTTGAAGAGTAGATTGTTAGACATGTACTGAGAAACCGTTTCTTCAGTGTTGCTGGGCAGAACCTTATGTCACTGGTATATATATAACATGAGTAGGATTTCTAAGCAGGATCTTAAAAAACAATCGATATATTGTTTATCTCTTGGCTTTTTATTTGTGCACATATTGATTAGGGCTAACCCTACTGTATTTTGAAATTTGCGGCGGTATATCGTGATTATACTGTGTCAAATTGAGTCGGGTTATCCCCATTCTAATTCATATCAGCCATAACCACCAACAGAAACAACGATTTCAATATCTGTTTGAGTGTTTTCTTCCAATTCCGGGTCACTCTGCCTTGGACTGGTGACATCAGGAATATTCAAAGTGAGGCGGAATTACGTTGACCTTTCGGGGTCACACACTGTTCGTGACGTCAGGAATATTCAACTTAGGGTCAGTCAGGGTCATCAACGTCTTTAACAATTGCCATCCGGGCTTCCTATGCAAATGAGAAATTTGCGGACAGTATATCGTGGTTATACTGTCGCAAATTATTTTGATTGACCAATCAAATGGCGTGTTATATCTCAAATGAATTAGAATCAGTTTTGTTGCAAAGTTTGTAAAGAGAAAACTCACGGAAATAAAGTGCAGTTGGAGAAAAAGATTAGAAATGCTCAGTGTTCTCTTTCAAGACTGGTTTTCTGTAGAAATAGCCTGCTGTTTACGTACATATTGAGCTGTCTCGGAGGATAAAGTATGATACACCAGTCCACATTAAACTGGCTACTTTTTAAAATCGACCACCTGTGAAAACTTAGCAAGAACACTGATGTGGTCGCCAATTCTGAACAATCTTATTGCCTCTCAAACATATTTCACTTTCTGGCTTTTAAAGATTTGATGACTTGTATCATTGTTGTAGTCAAGTATTTAGTTTTTGGATTGAGCAAAGATGGAAGTATTTCTTTTTCATAACATAGTTTTTCCCTAATTGGTACTAATTACAGGATTCTGTAACGACATGTACAGCTGGTCTAGTGTTTGACCATTGCATGTAATACATATACTGTAAAATCATAAATTTTCGTGGAACATTAAATTTTGTTTATTTCATGGATAACAAAAATCCACGAAATTAAATCCCCACGAAAACATGAATTTGGTATGATATAGATAGGGGCCAATCAGGAATCAGCGAAATATACTGTCCTTGAAACGGGCTAGTATATCGATGAAAACCACGAAATTTTAACCCCACGAAAATATATGATTCTGAAGTATATTCATCAATCAGCAATTTTGGAATGATTTGTTTGTACAAATATCTCAGATATGAATTTGTGATTATGCACCTATAATCTTGTTTAAACTGTAGTCAGGAAAAATCACTTTCCTTCCATATACTTACCATGTGTATCTGATAAGTTTATGTGTATTGTGTTTTCCAGGATATGTTAATATGGAGGGTTGTACTCCTGGTTACAGTTCTGTCATGATAGTAAAGATACATGTTTATTTCCGTTCTGGATAAAGATGACAAAATACTGCTGTAAAGGTCATCATGCGCTGTCTATACTGATGCTGTAATGCACTGTCCATACTGATGCTGTAATGCGCTGTCTATACTGATGCTGTAATGCACTGTCTATACTGATGCTGTAATGCGCTGTCTATACTGATGCTGTTATGTAAACATTGTTGCTGTTGTTCACAGAAATGTAAGGGTAGATGAAGAAGATGAACCCTACAGAAAATCTAGTACAGCCACCATACGGTCAGAGGGGACAGGAACCCAGTTTTACACCAAGGTAATTATTACATCCACCATACAGTCAGAGGGGACAGGAACCCAGTTTTACACCAAGGTAATTATTACAGCCACCATACGGTCAGAGGGGACAGGAACCCAGTTTTACACCAAGGTAATTATTATAGCCACCATACGGTCAGGGGGGACAGGAACCCAGTTTTACACCAAGGTAATTATTACAGCCACCAAACGGTCAGAGGGGACAGGTACCCAGTATTACACCAAGGTAATTATAACAGCCACCATACGGTCAGAGGGGACAGGTACCCAGTATTACACCAAGGTAATTATTACAGCCACCATACGGTCAGAGGGGACAGGAACCTAGTTTTACACCAAGATAATTATAACAGCCACCATACGGTCAGAGGGGACAGGTACCCAGTATTACACCAAGGTTATTATTGATGTATTTAAGAATATTACTCGTTCTTTTGAAATGAATCTGATAACCCTCACTTGAGTTAACTTTGTCCTCTAATTATCCTTGTCATTTCACTTTACAGCAGCATGGTGGAGTATTACAGATGTATGACAGCTCCGACAATAGCAGCCTGGGATCCCAGCGTAGCAGTACTGCCTCCACCTCAACCATCCGCATCAGGCGTGTGTCGAGGTATACTCAACCCCCAAACATATCTCCCGCACAACTTCTACCCCTACTCAACACTTAAGTCTCAACTACCAACATCTGGCGTGTGTCGAGGTATACTCCTTATCAACCCCAAACATATCTCCCACACAAGTTCTACCCCTACTTAATCAACACTTACTTAGGTCTCAACTACCAACATCAGGCGTGTGTCGAGGTATACTTATCAACCCCAAACATATCTCCCGCACAACGTCTACCCCTACTCAACACTTAAGTCTCAACTACCAACGTCAGGCGTGTGTCGAGGTATACTCCTTATCAACCCCAAACATATCTCCCACACAACTTCTACCCCTACTCAACACTTAAGTCTCAACTACGTACCAACATCTGGCGTGTGTCGAGGTATATTCCTTATCAACCACCAAACATATCTCCCACACAACTTCTACCCCTACTTACTCAACACTTACTTAAGCCTCAACTACCAACATGTACATCAGGTATTTGTCATAGCACAACCTCAACCCCTACTTTAGACTTATTTCAATATCTCTGATCAACATCTAAAATCGAGTAACCATTCAGGCCAAATATTGCCTCCATCTTGTCCATCTGCATCAATCAAGAGTGTGTTGAGTTAAACACACCTTATCCTCAATACCACACTTTAAGCAACTCCTTCTAAATAACCAGAAGATCCAGAGTAATGATACTTGGCCAGTAGGTTCCTGGGACAGTTTCCCCAAATAAATGCCCTTGACCTAGTTAGCTACTTTCAAGATCACAAGAATCAAATGGTTTAAAAACATCTTCTTTTGAAAATTCAAGGGGCCTAGGGCAATGATATTTGGCCAGTAGGTACCTGGGACAGAGTGATATAATGTTTTCGTAAACATATGACCCTGACCTACTTTCAAGGTCACAGGGGTCAAATATGTAAAAACTTTTCAACAACTTCTGCCAAAAAAACAGGGAGGCCCAGAGTAATGATACTTGGCCAGTAGGTTCCTGGGACAGAGTGCTATAAATTTTCCCAAAATAAATGACCTTGACCTATACCAATTTCACAGTCACAGGGCCCAGATATGTAAATATCTTTAAACAGCTTTTTCTGCAATACCAGGAGGCCCTAGGTGATGATATTTGACCGGTGGCATGCTGGGATAGTTCTGGAACGTTCTTAAGAATTTTTTTCTATGCTTGCTCAAATATCCAAGAGTGCCATACAGGCCCTCCTGGTCTCTTGTTTTGGTATGCTGTAAGCTTGTTTGTTGACTGTATTTGAATTAAGCACTGGTGTATTTCAGCATGCTAGATGGCTCCACACGTTTCCCCAAGCTGCAGGAGTGTGCTCACTTCCACTATGACTTTGTGGAGCTCAATAAAATACAGGTAAGTATAAGATCCAGTGTGATCTTTAGTCGGTAAAGATCAAGTGTGACCTTTAGTCGGTCAAGATCAAGTGTGACCTTTAGTTGGTCAAGATCAAGTGTGACCTTTAGTCGGTTAAGATCAAATGTGACCTTTAGTCGGTCAAGATCAAGATAAAGTGTGACCTTTAGTCAGTCAAGATCAAGTGTGATCTTTAGTTGGTCAAGATCAAGTGTGACCTTTAGTTGGTTAAGATCAAGTGTGACCTTTAGTCGGTTAAGATCAAATGTGACCTTTCGTCGGTCAAGATCAAGATCAAGTGTGACCTTTAGTCAGTCAAGATCAAGTGTGATCTTTAGTTGGTCAAGATCAAGTGTGACCTTTAGTTGGTTAAGATCAAGTGTGACCTTTAGTCGGTCAAGATCAAGTGTGATCTTTTGTTGGTCAAGATCAAGAGTGATCCTTTTGGTGCAAAGAAGTCATCACACATCAGATTCCTGTTGTAAGATCATGTAGAATGGGGCCAGTCTTTCTCACTAGGGGATGGTCAGTAATGCTCCACCAAGAGAAACACTACGTTCTCATTCTGTGTTAAATGGGAGAAGCCAGATATCAACCTTGTGATGATAAAGATTTCAATATCAGCAGTTTATTCTCTAATACTATAAGCTGAAGCTGGTAATTCCTACCTGATAACAAAAGCTTGCTTGTAATTGTAATAAGTCATCCTCTTTGAAAACATTAATCCTCGGTCCTCCAGGTGTCGCTGTGTGACGAGGACCAAGAGAACCATCACCATGGAGAAACAGACATCATGGAACGGACATTTCTCGTCAAAACTCAGGCCAGTGACAAGTCATGGAGTGTTCGTAGAACGTTCAAAAACTTCAAAATGCTGGACCGACAGTTACATCGCTGTATTTACGACAGGAAGTTCAGCCGCCTTCCAAATCTCAACCAGGAGGAGGACTCCACTAAAAGCTATAAGGTCTGTCCCACTCTAATAACCCAGTATCAGTGTCTGTCCAACTCCAATAATAAGTATCAGTGTCTGTCCCACTCTAATAACTCAGTATCAGCGTCTGTCCCACTCTAGTAACCCAGTATCAGTGTCTGTCCCACTCCACTAACCCAGTATCAGTGTCTGTCCCACTCCACTAACCCAGTATCAGTGTCTGTCCCACTCCACTAACCCAGTATCAGTGTCTGTCCCACTCCACTAACCCAGTATCAGTGTCTGTCCCACTCCAATAACCAAGTATCAGTGTCTGTCCCACTCTAATAACACAGCATCAGTGTCTGTCCCACTCTAGTAACCCAGTATCAGTGTCTGTCCCACTCTAGTAACCCAGTATCAGTGTCTGTCCCACTCCAATAACCCAGTATCATTGTCTGACCCACTCTAATAACCCAGTATCAGTGTCTTTCCCACTGTAATACCCCAGTATCAGTGTCTGTCCCACCCTAATAACCCAGTATCAGTGTCTGTCCCACTCAGTGTCTGTCCCACTCCAATAACCCAGTATCATTGTCTGTCCCACTCTAATAACCCAGTATCGGTGTCTGTCCAACTCCGATAATCAGTATCAGTGTCTGTCCCACTCTAATAAATTGTCTGTCCCACTCTAATAACCCAGTATCAGTGTCTGACCCACTCTAGTAACCCAGTATCAGTGTCTGTCCCACTCTCTTAACCCAGTATCAGTGTCTGTCCCACTCCACTAACCCAGTATCAGTGTCTGTCCCACTCCACTAACCCAGTATCAGTGTCTGTCCCACTCCAATAGCCCAGTATCAGTGTCTGTCCCACTCCAATAACCCAGTATCAGTCTCTGTCCCACTCTAATAACACAGTATCAGTGTCTGTCCCACTCTCATAACCTAGTATCAGTGTCTGTCCCACGCTAATAAATAACCCAGTATCAGTGTCTGTCCCACTCCAATAACCAAGTATCAGTGTCTGTCCCACTCTAATAACACAGTATCAGTGTCTGTCCCACTCTCATAACCCAGTATCAGGGTCTGTCCCACTCTAATAACCCAGTATCAGTTTCTGTCCCACTCCAATAACCCAGTATCAGTCTCTGTCCCACTCTAATAACACAGTATCAGTGTCTGTCCCACTCTAGTAACCCAGTATCAGTGTCTGTCCCACTCTAATAAATTGTCTGTCCCACTCTAATAACCCAGTATCAGTGTCTGTCCCACTCTAATAACACAGTATCAGTGTCTGTCCCACTCTAGTAACCCAGTATCAGTGTCTGTCCCACTCCAATAACCCAGTATCAGTGTCTGTCACACTCTAATAACCCAGTATCAGTGTCTGTCCCACATAATCAGTATCAGTGTCTGTCCCACTCTAATAACACAGTATCAGTGTCTGTCCCACTCTCATAACCCAGTATCAGTGCCTGTCTCACTGTAATAACCCAGTATCAGTGTCTGTCCCACTCTAAGAACACAGTATCAGTGTCTGTCCCACTCTAGTAACCCAGTATCAGTGTCTGTCCCACTCCAATAACCCAGTATCATTGTCTGTCCCACTCTAATAACCCAGTATCAGTGTCTTTCCCACTGTAATAACCCAGTATCAGTGTCTGTCCCTCTCTAATAACCCAGTATCAGTGTCTGTCCCACTCCTAATAACCCAGTATCAGTGTCTGTCCCACTCTCATAACCCAGTATCAGTGCCTGTCTCACTGTAATAACCCAGTATCAGTGTCTGTCCCACAGTAATAACCCAGTATCAGTGTCTGTCCCACTCTAGTAACCCAGTATCAGTGTCTGTCCCACTCTAATACCCCAGTATAAGGTCTGTCCCACTCTAATAACCCAGTATCAGTGTCTATCCCACTCTCATAACCCAGTATCAGTGTCTGTCTCACTGTAATAACCCAGTATCAGTATCATTGTCTGTCCCACTCTAATAACCCAGTATCAGAGTCTGTCCCACTCTAATAACCCAGAATCAGTGTCTGTCCCACTCTAATAACCCAGTATAAGGTCTGTCCCACTCTAATAACCCAGTATCAGTGTCTTTCCCACTGTAATAACCCAGTATCAGTGTCTGTCCCACAGTAATAACCCAGTATCAGTGTCTGTCCCACTCTAGTAACCCAGTATCAGTGTCTGTCCCACTCTAATACCCCAGTATAAGGTCTGTCCCACTCTAATAACCCAGTATCAGTGTCTATCCCACTCTCATAACCCAGTATCAGTGTCTGTCCCACTGTAATAACACAGTATCAGTGTCTGTCCCACTCTAGTAACCCAGTATCAGTGTCTGTCCCACTCTAATAACCAAGTATCAGTGTCTGTCCCACTCTAATAACCCAGAATCAGTGTCTGTCCCACTCTAATAACCCAGTATCAGGGTCTGTCCCACTCCAATAACCCAGTATCAGTGTCTGTCACACTCTAATAACCCAGTATCAGTGTCTGTCCCACATAATCAGTATCAGTGTCTGTCCCACTCTAATAACACAGCATCAGTGTCTGTCCCACTCTAGTAACCCAGTATCAGTGTCTGTCCCACTCTAATAACCCAGTATCAGTGTCTGTCCCACTCTCATAACCCAGTATCAGTGTCTGTCTCACTGTAATAACCCAGTATCAGTGTCTGTCCCACTGTAATAACCCAGTATCAGTGTCTGTCCCTCTCTAATAACCCAGTATCAGTGTCTTTCCCACTGTAATAACCCAGTATCAGTGTCTGTCCCACTGTAATAACCCAGTATCAGTGTCTGTCCCACAGTAATAACCCAGTATCAGTGTCTGTCCCACTCTAATAATCCAGTATCAGTGTCTGTCCCACTCTAATAACCCAGAATCAGTGTCTGTCCCACTCTAATAACCCAGTATAAGGTCTGTCCCACTCTAATAACCCAGTATCAGTGTCTTTCCCACTGTAATAACCCAGTATCAGTGTCTGTCCCTCTCTAATAACCCAGTATCAGTGTCTTTCCCACTCTAATAACCCAGTATCAGTGTCTGTCCCGCTCTAATAACCCAGTATCAGTGTCTGTCCCACTCTCATAACCTAGTATCAGTGTCTGTCCCACGCTAATAACCCAGTATCAGTGTCTGTCCCACTCTAATAACCCAGTATCAGTGTCT